GGGTTGGTGGGTGGGTGGGCGGGCAGGCAGGCACTGTGGCTCACCTCTGGCACATGCAGGTGGATGTGTGAAGTCACCAGGTACTCATTGGTGGGGTCATGCCGCATCAGGAAGGCCCTGGCAAAAGTGTAGGCGATGCGGGCACTCTCCTTCATCACCTCCCCCAGCTGGCCTGTCACCTCCAGGCTCCCGTCCTTGTCCTTGCTGTTCTTCTCCTGAGGCCGCCTTGGGGATGTCTCGACAAACAGTGTGGAGCCTCCTGAAAGACACCAGTGTGTAGGGGCTGTGAGCTCTGAGATAGATTCCCAGGGTAGCCACTCCCCCTCAACGCTGGGCCACCGTCTGCAACACTTCCTCACCCACCTCTCCTCAGCCTAGCACCTCCTCTGTCTCGTGTCAGCGCCCATGCCACCTAAGGGAACCACTGTGCACTGGCCCTACCCTGTGTACCTTCACACAGGCTGCCAACACCAGGCACAAATTCTTACATAAGAGCTTTAAATATCACCCAAATAAGCCAACTTTTTGTCAACCAGAGCCTGCTTCCTTTACAAACCCCCAAAAACTGCACCCAACCCCTGCCAGAGCAACCCCTGGGCTCTAAAAGACCCTGAAGCCCAAGTGGAGCAATGTCACCTAGACACAGAAGTTCCCTCTCACCCCTCCCCCTGCTGGGTGGTGTCCCAGGGTCTCATGCTGTGAAGGACTGTCCCACATGCAAGCCTGTCAAAGCATCACCTAATTAAAGCTCATGGAGTACACCTGCCACCTTGTGGCCACCTCTCCAACAGCCCCAATTCCCTTGGTCTCATTGTGCGCCGCCAGCCAGCCAGAGGGCGGTTCAGAGCAACAAAGTACAAACTTGTCCCAGAGGACAAACGGAAGGACGTGCAGCACTCACCCATGGCGGTCCAGGCCAGCCCCATGACCACGCCAGGTGGCGTCACTTCATACATGCGTTCCACAGTAAACACCGGCTTCCCCACAAAGTCCTGCAGGTTCTCAGGTGTCACCTCCACCAACTCAGCCTGACCACTGACAATCTTGTAGGCGGACTTCCTTAAGACCTGGGGCAGGTGAGGCAGGATGATGGGCAGCCGGCCCCCACTCACCACATCCATCTCCTTTTGCTTTAATTTTTAAATTGTGTAAAATGCACATCACATAAAAAATGTACCACTGTAGCCATTTCTAAGAGTGCAACTCGGCATTAAGTACATTTCACACTGCTGTGCAACCACCCCCACCGTCCATCTCCAGAACGTTCTCAGCTTCCCAAACAAAAACTCCCCAGCCCCTGGCACCCACCATTCTACTTTTATGTCTGTGAGTCTGACTGCTGGGGACCTCACAGGAGTGGGGTCAGACAGCATCTGCCCTGTGTCTGGCTCCCTTTGGTCACATCACACCCTCTAGGCTCACCTTCTCCACCTGCTTCTGCAGGTTGCGCACTCCGCTCTCCCGGCAGTACTGCTTAATAAGGACAGTCAGCACGTCCGACGACAGCTTGGCCTTGCTTTCATCCAGGCCGCACAGGGCACGGGCTTGAGGCACCAGGTACCGCTGGCAGAGAGGGGAGCTCTGTCAGGATCCTCCTGGGACCTTCCCCATCCCCAGGTCTCAGGATCCAGGGCCCAGCACCCAGCCACAGATCCCCGGCTGGTAAAGACAGGACTGAGGTGGACCCTGCCTTCATGG